TAGCATCAAAGTCAAGGTCAAAGACAGCTACACCCGCCCTAGACAGCTCGCCCCAGCGAGGGATCTCAGTGGCCTCAGGGAACTGGTGACACCAAGCGTCCGTCAGGCGGCCAAAGCAGCGCTGGGTGGAGTGCGCACCCCCGCACTGCTCACCCGCGCGGTCGCCGGTGCGTAGGACGTAGGTGCACGGACCAGTACCCCCACCCCGCTGGCGTGCAGCGTACCACTCACGGAGCTGCTGAGGGGGGGGGATGTCACGAGTGCGCTGCTGCTGCTGCTGCTGGCGCTGACCACCACCGGAGCCGACCCTCTGTGCAGCGGCACCCCGACCAGCTCCACCTCCTCCGCCGCCGCCTCCTCCACCGCCGCCACCTCCGCCACCTCCGCTCCCACCGCCACCGCCGCCGCCGCCTCCGCCTCCACTGCCGCCACCGACACCTCCACCCCCGCCACAACTCCCACCACCACCCCCACCCCCTCCACTGCCGCCACCGCCACCTCCGCCACCCCTGCCAGCCCCTCCAGCACCCTTGCCCCCCTTGCCCTTGCTGGTGCGGCGTCTCCCGCTCGGGGCAGACGCAGCGCCGACCGACTCGAAACCAACGAGGTCGGCCGCAGCAGCAGAGGCAACAGAGGGCAAAAGGGGGGAGGGGGAACACCCCTCAAAGACGGGGGTGCGAGGGTCACCACGAGAGGCTCCTACAGCGACTATGCTCTTCTCTGCTGCTAGGAGGGCCTTCTCGAGGAGGTCAACGGTGAGAGTGGTGGGGCAAACTGAGAGGAAGTGGTCCCTGACTACGCGAAGGGAGTCAGGGAGCCGGGTGACGATGTAGTAGAGGGTGATGTACATGGGGGGGGGGTTCTTGGCGCAGAACTCAGCAGGAAGCGCAGCGCGGTAGCGAGTGTCACTAGTGCGGAGGTGCGTAATGAGGTCAGCACTGTGGGAAAGGCAGCAAGGTCAGGGAAGAGGTACGGTAGCATGAGGCGGCTCAGTGCAGCAGTGGCAGGGGAGGAGTAGCGCGCAACTACAGCGTCGTACAAGGTGTGAGCACTCTTGTACTGGCTAAAGTGCGCACGCTCAGAGGTAGGCAAGTGGCGACGCACAGCAAGACGTGCAGCAGCATCGCGTGTGGCCCACTGTGAGCGAACAGTGGCGTCAGCATCAGCAGCGGGGGCAGGGGAGGCACCAGAAGTGAGATCAAAGAGGGAGAGACCGTCTGCCCTATCGCACTGTAGGAAAAGCTGCAGGTCATCTACCCAGACGTCAAAGTCAATGGCCCGACCCTCAGCGTCAAAAGCGAGGACACTGGGGGTAGCCATGACAGTAGTAGACTAGCAGCACGAGCAGTAGGCTAAGGGCAGCGCAGTAGTAGAGGTGCTGCTCTTACCGGGCAGGCGAGACGGACCGAGTGTAGAGGACAGGGCGGCTCGGACGGCTCGGCGGCTCGGCGGCTCGGCAGCACCAGCAGGTCGGCAGCTCAGCGACTCGGCGGCTCGGGTGGCTCGGCGGCTCGGGCGACTCGGGCGGCTCGGGCGGCTCGGGCGGCACGGGCGGCTCGGCTGCTGCAGGGGCAGCGGCGGCTGTTGCTCACAGGACGGCGGCGGCCGCTGCTGCAGCGGCGGCGGTAGTTGCTGTTGCAGGGCCGGCGGCGGCCGCTCCTGTAGGGACGGCGGCGGCCGCGGTTGCAGTGGCGGCGGGTGCTGCTGCAGGGGCGGCGGATGCTGCTGCTGCTGGGACTGCGGCCGCGGTCGCTGTAGCGACTGCAGCTGCTGCTGCTGTAGAGGCGGCGACGGCGGGCCGAGAGAGGCCGCGAAGGGCGGCGGACGGGCCGTGAAGGGCGGCACGAGGGGCCGCAGAGGGCGGCGACCAGCCGTGAAGGGGCCGGGAGTGGCCGCGAGGGGCCGCGTAGGGCGGCGACCGGCCGTGAAGGGGCCGCGAGTGGCCGCGGAGGGCGGCGACCGGCCGTGAAGGGGCCGCGAGTGGCCGCGGAGGGCGGCGACGGGCCGTAAAGGGCGACGCGAGGGGCCGCGAAGGGCGGCTACGGGCCGTAGGGGGGCCGTAAGGGCGGCGCGAGGGGCCGGAAGGGCGGCGCGAGGGGCCGTAATGGCGGCACGAGGGGCCGTCAGAGAGGCCGCTAAGGGCGACGCGAAGGGGCCGTAAGGGGCCTAGAGAGGGCGCGACGGTAGGGAGGGCACGCGGGGCGCGACTCGGGCAGGAGAGAAGCGCGCTCCGGGCAGGAAAAAAAAAAAATTCGATTGGTGGGCCCTAGGAAGCGTTCCCACGAGGGAACCCGCTCTATACCATGTTAAATAACGAGGAATGGATTGACTAAGGGAAAGTTGGGTACAAAAGCAAACCCTAGAAAACTGTACCCCATATGTGCTACCCCACTATAGCCTACAGTAGCTATGTCATATAAATCTGACAAGCTTATGGACAAAGAGTTTAAGATAATTATTCTTGTTCTTGTTATAAAGCATTTTCAACGGTTCTATTTCCAGTTTCAACGGTCGGCATTGACGGGACGAGGATCGTGAGTTTCAGGCGCGACCCTTTGAGTCTCTCGGAAATAGGACTCGCGAGATGCAACGGGACCAGTCTTCCGATCCCACTATTGTGGGGACGTCGCGGACGCGCTGCAACGGGTGTAACGGAAGTTGTTGCGTTGGCACAAAGTTCATCGCGACGGGTAACAGCGCGCGCGGGCCACTTCTCCAACCCTGCCAGTCACGCTTTAGCCCTTGCATGTCAGTGCTCCTGTGGACAGGTAATCAACGACATGACGATGCCCACGATTCGGCGTCACCACTATCGTCCACGACAAGGTGAAGTTCACGCTTTGAGACTTCGCTGTTCGCGAGCTTCACGGCGGGTTTCGCGGTGTAGGTGGAGGACTCTACGTTGTTCATGCATCTGGAGGAAGCTCGAGCGAGACTGCAGGGACAGCTCGTTGTAGGAGAGGGGCGAGGCGGGACGGCCGTGTGGTGGAGTGCAGTGGGGACATCATCAGTTGCGGGGTCAGGCGGTGCGAGGGCCGGGTGGGCAGAGGGGACGGCAGGGGGAGTAGACCAGCAAAGGCAGTAGCAGGAGAGCCAGCAGAGACTGGAGCACAGAACGAAGCACATCGCTCTGCACTACTTCCTCGCTCGAGAGCTGCAGCAGCGTGGTCAGCTTCGTCTGCGTTACGTGGCCACTCGGGCCAACACTGCTGACGTGTTCACCAAGGCACTTCAGCCTTGTGACCATCAGCGTTTCTGTACTGTTCTAGGCCTTGTGCCTACTCTCCCTCACTTGCTCACTTCTTGACTCTGCTTGTACTGTGATCTCTATATATATACCTGCATGTTTTTACTTGCTAGGTTGTGATCACTGTACCTCTTGTTCTATTATCAAACTGCATGTGAACTGGTCTTGTGACCACTTGCTTGTGCTCGGAATTTATGTGGTATCCTTGAGATCCACCCTGAGCTTGCTTTGCTTTTCTTGACTGGTCTTGTGACCTCTTGTTCTCCCCCACTTTGCCTATGGGGGTGTGTCAAACTTATATGCTATAGCTTGTTTAGGCTGTAGTGGGTTAGACAATATGGGGTACAACACTTTAGGGTTTCACTACTTGTACCCAACTTCCTGCTAGTTCAATCATTCCTGTTTCGTACATTTTAACAAGCCGCTGCTGCATTTCCCTTCTCAGCTGCTGCAAGTCGAGCATTAACCTTGTGCAACTCATGCACAAGCACCTCCACGGTAACTTTCAGCTCCTTGATCATTTCAGCAGCCACTCCACTACACTCCCCTTTGCAGCCGCAGGTCCCATTCTCATTTTCAGGTACCGTCTCACTCCATGGCACCACCGGGACATGCCACAACTCGTCATGCAGGTCCTTGTCTTCATTCAAGTCCCATAGCACTCGATCACCGAGATTCCCCTTGAACGTTTCAGCTCCATTGGTTGCCGTGCACATACCTGCAAGTCCCATCTTCCTTAGGGAGATCAGGTTCCCCTTCAGCTCCGGCACCAAGAGCACGTCCTCCAAAATTATCGGCTTCCCTTCAGCTCCCTTGAAGGCTGCCTTACCGACTCCAATCACCTTCATCTTATAGCCGCATCCTGAATTCATTTCAGTGATGCTCGTCTTCCCAACCTTGTCTAGCAGGTCCGCCCTCGGGGTCATGTGATGAGCCGCTCCGGAGTCAAGAATCCACGTGTTGAGAGGATGAGGCACTGCTCCCTCCTTGGCAGTTGCATTCTCACTCCCCTCGTTCCCTTGCACGTGGAAGAACTGCCCTGGAGCTCTCTCCCAATCATCTTCCCCTCCTCTTGCGGTCTCTGCTACATAACCAACTCCATGATGTTGGTTTTTAGTTCCTCCACCATCCTGGTGTTCGGGAGTCCACCACTTGGGACGTTTCCAACACTTCACCCAAGTGTGTCCCGCCTTTTTGCAGTACCAACAAGCTCCCTTGAACTTGTGATAGTCACCACGATCATCCTCATCATCAGCTTCTTCTTTTTCATCACACTTGTTGCTCGGCTTCTTATCATCACGCCAACGTCCATGCCGTCCATTTTCACCACGTCCCCGGTCGTTTCCCTTACGCCAACCGCTGCCTTGTACTCCATAGCCACCGTCACCATCATGGTTATGACTCAGCTGCCTCCTCCTGAAGTCTTCCTCCAAGATCTTGGTCCGCACCCATTCAAGCGTCCACGATTCCTGGTTTTGAAGCAGGCTTAGCCCACTTGTAAACTGCAGCCATGACTCGGGTAGCAGCGAGAACATGCGTAGACACTTCGTCTTCTCCGGGTAGGTGATGCCCGCAACTTGGAGCTTGGCATATAGCTCCCTCATCTTGTCAAGGACCGGTTGAACCGGCTCCCCCTCACTTAGGCGCAATGAAGCCAATTCACGCTCCAGCATGAGCGAAGCAACCACCGAGGTTGGGGCGTGCAGCTCCCGCGCGGCACGGCAGTGGGTGCGTGACGACGGCGGAGACGGTGATGCTGGAGCAGCAGAGCGCGCACCACATGCTGCAGCACCTGCCGCACCCAGGCGCCCACGCTGGCAAGGGAGAACAGACGGGGCAGGGGGAGCAAGGGCGCAAGGTGGTGGTGGTGTCGCTGGCGGCGCTGGCGGCCCACTATAAGATCACGCCCCTGCAGGTGCGACTCGCGTAGGGGGGCGCGCATGCAGGTGTGGAGAAGACAGCGAGAGGGCGAGGGGAAGTGCCAGGTCCGGTGGCTGCCGTAGGGGGCCGCGCACGCAGATGTATCCACCTTGTGCCACGATTTCCCGCTCTCTGCACCTGCATGCTTGCCTCTTATCCTCCTCCTTGCACATCCATAAATATCTTTGCTGCTGTCATTCCTGCATGGGCTGGGCGTGGCATCAGTGTTTGACACGAGTGCATAGCATGCCCCGCACCACCTGCTCCCTCCCCCCCGGCAGGCCTTCCGCAAGCTGACATCGTTCCTGCATTCACTGGGCGTGGCAGCAGTGTTTGACACGAGTGCCTCGAGGGACGTGGCGCTCATCGAGGCCTGCCATGAGTTCGTCTGCGCCTTCCGCCGCCACACTGCTGCCCATGCCACCACCGCCCTTGCCTCTGCCCCTGCGGGCACCATGAACGGGCCTGGCAGTGGCCAGGCCGCTGTGCCGCATGCATCCTCTGATGACCGTGCAGCCGCAGGAGCAACACCATTAGCACCATCGGACATGGTACCAACTGCACCTTCAACAGCGGGACGAGAGAGCAGTGTGGAGGCAGCACAAGAGTCTGGCCAGTCCGCCCCTCCCAATGCCACACCGCCGCCCATCCCCACTGACTCGCTGCCGCACCTGCCTGTGCTCGCCTCTGCTTGCCCCGGTATGCCTCGTGGCACAGCCAGACCAATAGCTGGTTCCTGTGCACTTATGAATTCGCCCATGCCTTGCCCTTGTGCACAAACCTGTGCATGTCCGTTTCCACTGCTTTGCCATCTCTTCCCATACGCATCTCCGTGCGTGCGTCCATGGGAGGCCAGGGTGGGTGTGCTACACGAAGAAGGCGCATGGGGACCACATCCTGCCGCGCCGCACATGAGCCTACAGCTTGACTCTCTCCCCTCTTCTGTACCATATGCATGTCCGTGCGTGCGCGCATGGGCTGGCAGGGTGGGTGTGCTACGCGGAGAAGGCACACGGGGAGTACATCCTGCCGCACATGAGCCGTGTGAAGAGCGCCCAGCAGACCATGGGCGCCCTGCTCAAACGCTTCTACGCCTCCCAGCTTACCACCACGTGAGTCGTGCGGCCATGCCTCTCATGCCCCTGGCTGCAGCAGTGGGTGAGAGGAGCGACGAGCGCGGCATCGAAGCAGGCGGTAAAAGATGCGAGGGAATGAGACATGCACAGGTCTACGCCATGCCATCTTGGATGCCATGCACAGGTACACGCCATGCACAGGTACACGCCATGCACAGGTACACGCCATGCACAGGTACACGCCATGCACAGGTACCCAGAAGGCACTCACTCGCCCTTCTTCTTCTCTTCCTCCACCCACAACACACAACTGCTTGTCAAGCCATTCCCTACTGCACTCCGTCTTGCCTCACTCCTGCTGCTTGTTTCCCATTAACCCTTCTCCTCCCCTTTCTCCTTTCTCCCGTCTTTCCTCTTCTTCAGCCTTCACGTCTTACCCTCATCCCTTGGCTCTCTCCCCTCCTCGTCTCCCTTCTCCCCTCTCCCCTCTCCCCTCTCCCCTCTCCCCTCTCCCCTCTCCCCTCTCCCCTCTCCCCTCTCCCCTGCTCAGCCCGGAGCAGCTGTACCACGTGGCGGTAGTGATGCCCTGCTACAACAAGAAGATGGAGTGGTGATTAAATCCTAGACTTCAGAACCCTTGAGTCGACTAGAGAATTGGCTTCCTCCCCCCTCTGCCCCACCAGTCCAGAGCAGCTATACCACGTGGCGGTGATGCCGTGCTACGACAAGAAGCTCGAGGCCGCCAGGGACGACTTCCTGCTGCCTGGGGGAGCGCAGGCGAGTGCGCAGGACGGGGGAGAGAATACTCGAGATGCAGAGGGCGGTGGGGAGCGGTTGACAGAGGTGGACTGTGTGCTGACGTCAGGGGAGATCTTCGCTCTGCTGCAGGTGCGCTGTGAGGAGGGTGTTGGGATCTCTGCTTGTGAGTCTGACTTTTGTCTCGCTTGCATTGCTCCCATGCTGCCTCCTTAGCCCCCCAGGGCTCACATGTTCCCCCCTCATCGCTGTGTGCCTTCACCCCTTTGTGCCTTCACCCCTGCGTGCATGACTGCCCACTTTGCGCCCATGTCTCTACCCTGGTCCCTGGGTGCAGGAGCAAGGAGTGGACTTCATGGCTCTGGAAGAGCATCCTCTCGACTCCATGTATGCCACCATGCCATCCCACCATGCCATGCCCATGCCATGCCCATGCCATGCCCATGCCATGCCCATGCCATGCCCATTCCATGTCACCATGCCATGCCACCATGCCTCAAGTTTCACTGTGGGATGTTCATTAATGGTGTAACATGTCAGTGCATCCCTCCCATGCTGTCCCATCTCACGCTCGCCCCATCCACTGTCAGCTGCCCCTCATGCCCCCCTTGACCACCCTCCAGTTCTCCAGTCCATTGACCTCCTTCCACTGTCCACATACATTCAGAATTGCTGCCTCTCCCAACCGCCTCGTCCTCTTTCCCTCATCCCCCATGATGTCTCCACACACCCCTGGCATCCACTTGCACAATCACCTTCGCCGTCCATCCCTTACCCTCTCCATTCTTCATCCACCTTTCCCCGCCGCACCACTTCATCCACCCTTTCTCATGCTTCTCCCTCTTCCCCACCCCCAAGGCTCACCAACGTTGACGCCAGCGGGCATCTCTACGGGGTGGCGGGCGGGTCAGGCGGGTACGCGGAGGCCTTGCTGCGCTACGCAGCGCTGGAGCTGTTTGGTGTGCACGTGCCCCCGGGCCCGCTGGAGTGGCAGGCGGTGCGCAACGCGGACATGCGCGAGTGCAGCGTGGCGCTGGACGGGCAGCCCGTGCTGAGAGTGGCGTGAGCGTACGGCTTCCGCAACATTCAGAACGTGCTGCGCCGCGCCAAGCAGGGCCGCTGCCCGTACCACTACGTGGAGGTCATGGCCTGCCCGGGAGGTGAGAGTGGAGGGGTGGGTAGCAGGGGGGCTGGAGGTGGGGGGGAAAGTCGCCTGTACCAGTACCACTACATCATGTGGAGTTCATGGCTTGCCCTGGCGGGTAGAGGAGGCCAAGGCGCAGGGGGCCTGGAGGTGAAGAGGGGCAGAAGGTGACTCATAAGTCAACTTGGAAGTTGCTCCGTACCACTATGTGGAGGTCATGGCTTGTCCCGGAGGTGAGGATGAGAGGGGTGGAGAACAGGGGGCCTGGAGATGGGGGAGGGTGGGGAGAAGGCCGGAAGGTGACTCTTGAGGCGACTTAGACGTTCCCCCATGCTACTAGGTGGAGGACATGGCTTTCCCTGGGGTGAGAGGGAGGGTGGGGTGGGCAAGTGGGGGAGTGGAGGTGGGGGTGAGGGAGAGTGCCAGATGGTGACTCGTGAGTTGAGTTGAATCAGAAGTCACTCGGCCACCACGTGCAGGTCATGGCTTGCCCCAGAGGTGAGAGGAGAGGCAGGCGCAGGGGGAGTGGAGGTGGTGGAGGGGAGACGGACAGAAGTTGGCTATTGAGTTGACTGATGATTCAACTCGTTACACTGCGTGGAGGTGATGGCATGCCCTGGAGCTGAGAACGGGAGGTGGGGGAGGGGCACGGGGGGACTGGAGGTGCAGGAGCATAGAGGTGCAGGTGTGAGTATGGGTGAGGGGAGAGCGCGTGAGGATTTCATGGGAAGGTGGTGGTTGCCATGCTCAATGTGTCGCTTTCACCATTCCATGTAGTTTGTTCCAACGTGCTTCTGTGGTTCTCAAGGTGCAATTTTGTGTGCGTGGGTGCATGGATTGCATGGGGCGCATGGGATGGCACGGCACTGCAGGGTGTCTGAATGGAGGGGGCCAGCGCCCACCAGAGCAGCGCAAGGCACAGCCAACAAGGAGCTACCTGCAGGACCTGGAGGCGCACTACCTGGCTCAGGTGAGGGCGCACTACCTAGCTCAGGTGAGGGCGCACTACCTGGCTCAGGTGAGGGCGCACTGCCTGGCTCAGGTGAGGGCGCACTGCCTGGCTCAGGTGAGGGCGCACTGCCTGGCGCAGGTGAGGGCGCACTGCCTGGCTCAGGTGAGGGCGCACTACCTGGCTCAGGTGAGGGCGCACTGCCTGGCTCAGGTGAGGGCGCACTGCCTGGCTCAGGTGAGGGCGCACTGCCTGGCTCAGGTGAGGGCGCACTGCCTGGCTCAGGTGAGGGCGCACTGCCTGGCTCAGGTGAGGGCGCACTGCCTGGCTCAGGTGAGGGCGCACTGCCTGGCTCAGGTGAGGGCGCACTGCCTGGCTCAGGTGAGGGCGCACTGCCTGGCTCAGGTGAGGGCGCACTGCCTGGCTCAGGTGAGGGCGCACTGCCTGGCTCAGGCGAGGGCGCACTGCCTGGCTCAGGCGAGGGCGCACTGCCTGGCTCAGGGGAGGGCGCACTGCCTGGCTCAGGTGAGGGCGCACTGCCTGGCTCAGGTGAGGGCGCACTGCCTGGCTCAGGTGAGGGCGCATTACCTGGCTCAGGTGAGGGCGCATTACATGGCTCAGGTGAGGGCGCACTGCCTGGCTCAGGTGAGGGCGCACTGCCTGGCTCAGGTGAGGGCGCACTACCTGGCTCAGGTGAGGGCGCATTACATGGCTCAGATTTCTCTGCCACCACCCTTCTCCCATTTCCTCCCCATTCCCTCGGGCCTCGGGCCTTTTCTTGAGCTCATGGCTCCTTGGTGCGTCAAGTTCCACATGCATGTGTTCGTCTTGTGCTCTTGTTCTCGCGATCCGTCTCCTCTCTACCTTCTCACCCCACTCACATTTCCTTGTGCTCCTTGCACCTGCCTGCACCCCCCTGCAAATCCCTGTACCAATCTCTACTGTCTCAATCGCAGGTGGAAATGCGCAGCCCGTTTGCCAATCCGCTAGCCCAGCAGATCTACTCGCAGTTGCTGGGCTCGCCTCTCTCCCCCTCCGCACAAGCTGTGCTGCACACCTCCTTCCATGCTCGTCCCAAAACGCTTGCTCTCTCTGCACCTACACTTGCTGCTAGCTGGTAACACATGCTTACAAGTTGTGACAGTATTGACAAATATCATTAACGCAAGTTCTGTATAGAATGTGGCATTGCTATAGCGCTAAACCATATTGATAGAGGTGGAGAGATTATTGTAACTTAATGCTAGCTACTGAGCAAAAAGGATGTGAGGTAGCTGTTAGCTCTTAGCATCTTCCCCCCACCACATTCGTAGCTCTCACTCGCACATAATCCTCCAGACGTTCTCCCCTACGTATATTCCATTACAAACCGCCTCATGCCGTCGCAGCGCCGAGGCCGCCTCGTCAGCGCAACGCACGCATCACCTTTGCCCGCCGCACTCTGGCAGGTAATTGTCGACTTGACTTTTACAAACCAAGCGAGCCTCCTCTGTAACGCATTGCCTGTCAGAATCCCAGTCAATAGACCACTGGGATAAAAGGGCTTGTTAAAGCCCGAGTCTAGAATGGTAAGGGTTCAACTTCAAGATTCTTGAACTTGAGTTCGTTAAGAACAGGGTAACCAGGTTGAGAAAGCTTCTCCCTCGCGACCCACCGAGAAGGGAGTTGGTGGGCCAGAAGGTGATTGGCCAAATGCTCCACAGCAAAAACAGCGACGAGCCTCGCAGAAACAAACGAGAACAAGTATCACTGTTCACACTTTCAGAACTTGAAACTCGAGAATACCTTTCTAGACTCGTAGCATAGTGGGCTCCATAGCGCTAGTTCTCGTCGTTAGCCAAGCATAGTTACGCCCATCTCCGTACTATGCTAAGACTTTAGTAGCACATAGAGATGGCCCTTCCCGTCGACTGTTCCGCGCATAACAAGTACGATATGGTAGCCTTCCGCAAATACAGAATGAAGCCTCGATTGATCACCATTGTAAGAATCAATTGTCGCTACTGACGGTTATATCGCGTTAGCCGACACTCGCATAGCCAATAGCGAAATCGGCTATGACACCTCGACAGTCACTCCCGTCCCACACTCAATCCTGTCGCTCACTAATACCCTTCGCTCACTAACTCACGTCGTTCACACACTCAATCCCGTCGCTCGCTCACTCACTCCCGTCGCTCGCTCACTCAATCCCGTCGCTCGCTCACCCAATTCCGTCGCTCACACACTCAATCCCGTCGCTCACTCACTCAATCCCGTCGCTCACAGACTCAATCCCGTTCCGCCGTCACTCCCGTCGCGCCTTCACTCCCGTCGCGCTCGCACTCCCGTCATCCGCACACGTCGTAGGCACATGTCACCCACACGCGCCATACACGACTCAATCACACATATCCCTCTCGCCCCTCTCCTCCAGTCCCTCTCCTCTCCTCTCCTCCGTTGCCTCTCTGTCCTCTCCTTCCTTTCCATCTCTCGCCTCTCCCTCTCGCCTTCACTCCATCTTCCCCCCGTTCCTCTTCCCTCCCTCTTCGCCATTGTCAGAATCCCAGTCACTAGACCACTGGGGTAAAATGGCTTGTTAAGTAGCGGGTCAGTGCGCCCATAACCCCCCATGACAACGAGCCTGTAACCCTTCCCTAGGATCAATCGGGGATCTCCAGTGGACCTCTGACACCCCCCCGCACTCGGATGCCCGAAGTGCACACACTGGGATTCGAACCCGAGACCTTCGCTCTGATACCATGTCAGAATCCCAGTCACTAGACCACTGGGATAAAATGGCTTATTAAGTAGCGGGTCAGTGCGCCCATAACCCCCCAGGACAACGAGCCTGTAACCCTTCCCTAGGATCAATCGGGGATCTCCAGTGGACCTCTGACATTGCCAACGTCTCACCTAACTCCCTAACTAACGACCTAACACTCCAAGGCATTCGTCGAGATAGCTCTCGATAGAAATTGGGCTACGAGTGATTGAAGGTTGGGTTGGGAGAGAAGGTTGGGTTGGGAGGGAAGGTTGGGTTGGGATTTCCAAACTTCAACCAATAGGATTGGGAAACTCCAACCCATCAAAGTTTAATGTTGAAGGTTGGATTTCCAACCAATCACAAACTGCGAATTCAATGTAACAATCTACTCTATCTTAAAAACAACCATTCAATTGTTCTAGGTTGGATTTTCCCAACCCAACTAATTGCCGCATAGGCTCCAAGCCTAGGAACCATCCCACCATGGAAACCATGGTTGGGGGAGTTCCTCAAGGGGTGTATTGAGGGGGTTTGAGCTAGCAAGCTCATTCTTCACCTCCCACTCCAACTAATCAATTGGAAATGGGATATTTTGCCTAAGTCATTGTTTGGTGTCAGAACATCATAGCTCATGCATATTGTGTAGGCTATAGTGGGGTACTCCATAAGGGGTACAACCCAATTAGGGTTAGTACTTGTACCCAATTCATTCATAGTTCATCCATTCCTGTTTTCTTGATTCACATGGTATAGAGCGGGTTCCTACATGGGACCGTTCCTTCCTAAGGGCCCACCATAAGAATTTTTTTTTTAGCTGCCCGCGCACATTGCGCCCTGCCCTAAATTTTTTTTTTAGCGGCCCCTACGCTGCCCCTACGCGGCCCCTACGCCGCCTCCCACGCGCCCCCTATGCGGCCCCTGGCGGCGCCCTGACGAGGCCCCTGCCGGCGCCCTATCGCGGCCCCTGACGCGCCCCCTGGTGGCGCCCTGACGCGGCCCCTGGCGGCGCCTGACGCGGCCCTGACGCGGCCCCTGGCGGCGCCCTGACGCGGCCCCTGCCGCGGCCCTGACGCGGCCCTGCCGCGGCCCCTGACGCGGCCCTGACGCGGCCTGCCGCGGCCCCTGCCGCGGCCCTGAAGCGGCCCCTGACGCGGCCCTGACGCGGCCCTGACGCGGCCCTGCCGCGGCCCCTGGCGGCGCCCTGACGCGGCCCCTGACGCGGCGCCCTGACGCGGCCCCTGCCGCGGCCCTGACGCGGCCCTGCCGCGGCCCCTGACGCGGTCCTGACGCGGCCTGCTGCGGCCCCTGCCGCGGCCCTGAAGCGGCCCCTGACGCGGCCCTGACGCGGCTCTGCCGCGGCCCTGACGCGGCCCTGACGCGGCCCCTGACGCGGCCCCTGCCGCGGCCCCTTACGCGGCCCTGACGCGGCCCTGCCGCGGCCCCTGGCGGCGCCCTGACGCGGCCCCTGACGCGGCGCCCTGACGCGGCCCTGCCGCGGCCCCTGACGCGGCCCCTGCCGCGGTCCCTGACGCGGCCCCTGACGCGGCCCCTGTCGCGGCCCCTGACGCGGCCCCACCACCTACCTTTCCGGCCCCGCCGCCTCCTCTCAGCGGCCCCGCCGCCTCCTCTCAGCGGCCCCGCCGCCTCCTCCCAGCGGCCCCGGACGCCGCCCTCTCAGCGGCCCCGCCGAGCCGCCCAGCAGCCTAGCCGCCCAGCAGCTGAGCCACCGAGCCGCCCAGCAGCCGAGCCGCCGAGCCGCCCAGCAGCCGAGCCGCCCAGCAGCAGAGCCGCCGAGCCGCCCAGCAGCCGAGTCGCTGAGCCGCCCAGCAGCCGAGCCGCCGAGCCGCCCAGCAGCCGAGCCGCCCAGCAGCCGAGTCGCCGAGCCGCCCTGCAGCCGAGCCGCCCGAGCCGCCCTGTCCGGTAAGAGCAGCGCCTCTCTCACAGCACTGCCCTCACCCCACTGTTTGCGCTGCTAGTCTACTGCTGTCATGGCTACCCCTAGTGTCCTCGCTTTTGACGCTAAGGGTCGGGCCATTGACTTTGACGTCTGGATAGATGACCTGCAGCTTTTCTTACAGTGCGATAGGGCAGACGGCCTCTCCCTCTTTGACCTCACTTCTGGTGCCTCTCCTGCCCCCGCCACTGATGCTGACGCAACTGTTCGCTCCCAGTGGGCCACGCGCGATGCTGCTGCACGTCTTGCTGTGCGTCGCCACCTGCCTACCTCTGAGCGTGCGCACTTTAGCCAGTACAAGAGTGCTCAGACCTTGTACGACGCTGTAGTTGCACGCTACTCCTCCCCTGCCACTGCTGCACTGAGTCGCCTCATGCTACCGTACCTCTTCCCTGACCTTGCTGCCTTTCCCACAGTCGCTGACCTCATTACGCACCTACGCACTAGTGACACTCGCTACCGCGCTGCGCTTCCTGCTGAGTTCTGCGCCAAGAACCCCCCCCCCATGTACATCACCCTCTACTACATAGTCACCCGGCTCCCTGACTCCCTTCGCATAGTCAGGGACCACTTCCTCTCAGTTTGCCCCACCACTCTCACCGTTGACCTCCTCGAGAAGTCCCTCCTAGCAGCAGAGAAGAGCATAGTAGCTGTAGGAGCCTCTCGTGGTGACCCTCGCACCCCCATCTTTGAGGGGTGTTCCCCCTCCCCCCTTTTGCCCTCTGTTGCCTCTGCTGCTGCGGCCGACCTCGTTGGGCTTGAGTCGGTCGGTGCGGCGTCTACCCCTAGCGGGAAACGCCGCCCTGGCAAGGGCAAGGGGGGCAGGGGCGCTGGAGGAGCTAGCGGGGGCGGTGGAGGCGGCAGTGGAGGAGGTGGAGGAGGTGGCGGTGGCGGTGGGGGTGGTGGCGGGGGTGGAGGTGTCGGTGGCGGCAGTGGAGGCGGAGGCGGCAGCGGCAGTGGCGGAGGGAGCGGAGGTGGCGGCGGTGGAGGAGGAGGCGGCGGAGGAGGTGGAGCTGGTCGGGGTGGCGCTGCGCAGAGGGTCGGCTCCGGTGGTGGTCAACGCCAGCAGCAGCAGCAGCAGCAGCAGCGCACTCGTGACATCCCCTCCCCTCAGCAGCTCCGTGAGTGGTACACTGCACGCCAGAGGGGTGGGGGTACTGGTCCGTGCACCTACGTCCTCCGCACCGGCGACCGCGCGGGTGAGCAGTGCGGGGGTGCGCACTCCACCCAGCGCTGCTTTGGCCGCCTGACGGACGCTTGGCGTCACCAGTTCCCTGAGGCCACTGAGATCCCCCGCTGGGGTGAGCTGTCTAGGGCGGGTGTAGCTGTCTTTGACCTTGACTTTGATGCTATTCTTGCTGCCGTGTATACTGTGACTATTAGTGATGAGGGTGACTGTTACCGGTGTTTTCCGCCCGACC